TTTTCACCCAATATATTCCATTTTAGAATATGCTAAATAGCTATGTGCAAATATAATCACATATTAGGAATATAGGCATTATACATTTTTGGGTGATATTTAATGTCTGAATTTCCCTTAAAATGTAAGTCCCATGAAAGTAGAGATCATGTGTGTTTTTGCTTACCATTTTATACCTTGTGGCTCTCATGGGGTCAAGCAGTATTAAGAGCTTAACAAATATTTGCAGAATGAATTAGTGACAGGTATGAAATTCAGTCTAATAAGCAATGCACAAGAGACAATTATACTTATCACCCATTAAAACATAAACGAAAACCAATTTTTCTTTTTTAGTGCTCGGGACTGAATCCAACACTGTGTGTGCTAGACAGTTACTCTACCACTGTATTACATCTCTGCTATGGTTTGTGTCAAGATGTTCCCCTCATGTGGTCATAGGGCTTTTTCAAAGGTGGCTGAATCTACAGTGTGTGATTGATTGGTGGTGCAATCCTGGGATTAAGGCTGCTGAGGTTAAGGATGGGTGATTGCTGGGTCAGTCCACTGACTGGACTGGCTCTACTCTAATCCCACTAGACTGAATACAATATAAGGAACAGAAAGAGGATTGATTGCCTTCTACTATTCATTGCTTTTGCTGTCTTCTGCCACCTTGAACTGTTTGTTGCCCCTCTGTCATTGCTACTCTATCTTGGAGCCAGCCACTTAGAGACTGAAACCTCTATAAACTGTGAGCTAAGTAAGCTTTTTCCCCTTTAACTTAGGGGGTCAGGTATTTTATCCCAGCAATAAAAGAAAAGTAACTAAAACCATCGCCAAACCCAAAAACGGAATTGTTTATTCTCTTCCTACCCCATCATTCTTAAACTTGATCTTTCCTGTCTTTACCACCTCAATATATGACATCAAGTTTAAGTTGCTAAAATGAAAAACAAAACAAACCCCCACCACGTGTAACCCTAAATTTTTCCTTCTCTCACTTCCTACAACCTTGAATCTTTCCTCTTCTCTTAAATCTTCCCTCTTCTATCTCCATCACCACTTTTCTCTGAGCCACTATTAAATTCTGCATTGAGTACTCAATGGCCTTGTAGTTAGTTTTTCTCTTACCATTACAATTTTTTCATTTAGCAGCAAACTGATCTAAAATATAAATCAGACCATCTCTCCCTTATTTAGAACTCTATTAGTTTCTATCTGCACACAGAATAAAATCCTCAGTCCTCATGTGGCTTCTTGCAAAGCACAGCATCATCTAGCCCCTAGCTTACCTTTTTCTCACTACCTTCTTTCCCTGAAAATAAGACCTAACCAGAAAAGAATCACCCTTAAAAACCGGAGATCAAAAACGCCAGCCCCATTCAGCCTACACTTGCCTTACCTGCCATCACCATTCTCTTGTCTGGTGGCTACTCTGTAAAGGATGTAATGTAAAGATAAGTTGATTGGGGCTGGCATTGTCGATCTCCAGCTTTTGAAGTTTATTATTATTTTCCAGCCATGCTTTATTTTGGAGGAAATGTGGTACGTTTCAACTACATATACTTTCTAGCCCCTAAGCTTTAAGGCCTTTGCTCTTCCTGGACTCCACCCCTGTCTATCATAAGGACAGCACCTTCTTTGCCTTCAGATCTACCCTCATCTCCTCCATCCCCAACTAGGAATTGAAGACAAGTAGCAGTGAACTATATCTTATATTTTTATTTTATTTTTTTAGATTACACGCAACTGCAATTATAGACCTGAACTATTCTGCCTGATTCTCAGCTTTCAGATCTTAACTCTATAAACTTCACCATCTCAAAGAGGTTGCTTTTGTCAACTCTGTCAAGAAACTGTTCCCCTACCCCGCTCCCCCAAAAACCAAACAAACAAGAAACCATTTCCCCTCTACTCACGAGGCACAAATTAGGGTGTGGTAGACTGGCTAAGGAAACAGGCATGACCTATTAATTGCAAAGTACCAGGACACATGCACAGAACAATCCTCAAACCCCGGTACATGACCTTCTCACAAGAGCTTGAGTGGCTCTGGATAGGGCAACCTACACCGGAGGTCAGCCTGAGGCGTGGGAGATACAACACTGACAGTCGCCCATGAACACTCCAGCACTGTGTTCTCACAGTAGTCTACTCTCAGGCAGTAGGGTGTATTTCTTTTGCTACTTTCACTTGGCCCAAACTTGGTCTTTTCCTACCTTTAATAGCATAAAACCTCTCTACTTTTTGTGCTTATTTTGTCCAACTCTTTTTTAAGACTAGAAGACCCTTGAAATCACCTCTGGAAGGAGACTTCATTACCCCCAAACCTGGTAACACTCATACAGCTGTCCCCACCTGATATAGTTGCTTCATAGCACACTTATTACAACTGGAAACAATTTTATTCATCTATTTATTTTCTATTTTTCTTCCCCAGAATGTAAAGCTCAAGACTAGCAGCTGGGCACCAAGAACACTGTTCAATCAGTACACTGAATAATCAGTATTTTTGGATAAACAAAGCTGTTATCTGCTTTACTCTTCTAAAACCAAATCAACATTTACAATACATAAAAAGTACCTTTTTAACATATTTCCACTTTCTTCGAGGTATGGTTTATCACTAAGCAGAGATCTTTCTACAGTGTGAACAGAGGTAGTTCACTGTGAAGAGAATCTGCTTCTTATTATTTTCCTCCAGATTTGCGTTTTCTTTTTCTAACTTAAAATTCATTGCATTCTTTTTCAGGATTCTAGACTATTATATAAATTCCTTACATATCAACTTGATGAAATTTGGTCTTGAATGTTATATCTTTCTAGCTCCTTTGTACTATTACAAAACATCTTAAATAGAAACAGACCCACTGTCAGGTGCCATAAGACAGTTTTTGAGACTGAGGCATAGGTTCCATTCTATCCTCCAAAGAAGTAATTACTGAGTAGGTCTTATTACTTCCTTACCTCCATTCCCAACTATAAGAATACTCAGCAGGAGTCAGTGATCTGTAAAGCTTTACACCAAAGACAGACCAACCTTAGAGGGAGGAATAGAAGGAGAAAGAAGACCATCTGGGCAGCAATACAAGCAAGGCCTTCATTGAAATACAACTTAATAATTGTGTTCTCAAATTCTGTTTAGTCCACAGTGGAGCCCTTTGTCCATTATATTACTCAATGTCTTTTATGTAAATAACAAGGCAATATATACTTCCTAGAATTAAAAGTACAAGGAACAAGACTCAATTTAAGATCAAACTTGGAATTTTTTTTAATCAAACAATGCAAACCATATGAGGTCATGTAGTTTTACAGTAGGAAGAGTGATTAGAAATCAACTAGCCCAGCTTTTTCCAAAGTGCATTTTGGTTATAACAAAGAAAAAGACTTTGATAAGCAAGTAAGTTTTTTTTTCTGTAACTATTTTATTGAGATATAATTCACATATCATGGAATTCATTGAAGTGTATAACTTATAGTATATTGTTTTTCAATTGTCACCATTATAAATTTTAGCACATTTTCATATTCTAAAGAAACTCTATACTCCTTAACAACCATTCTCTTTTTCCACCAGCCAACAAGTATCTTTCTTTACCACAGGAATCCTTTGGCCCTTTATTGTGAATCTAATATGCTTTGTGAATTTACAAAATGGGATACAATGTACGTTTTCCAAAGACATTTAATAGCTAACAATTCGGTGCTAATTGTACTATTCTAAATGCTGTATGTACCTTATCTCAATTAATTCTCATAATAAAATCTAGGTGGTACAATAAATATGGATATTAAAGCACAAAAAAATTAAGGCTAAATAATTTGCTCAAGTGCTCTTCACCATACCAAGCTACTGCAGTGTATCTCCTACAGAACAGATTAGTTGTGATGAGAATGCACAACTAGTAGTTTATAGGCCACATCTTTGTAAGTGCTCTACTTTAATCTCTTTTACTTTAGAAAAATGGGGCCCAGAAAGGTAAGCTGAGTTACCCAGTAACACACAGCGGAAATTCCCTTTCTTTCTTTTGTAGTACTGGGGATTGAACCTAGGGCCTTGCACATACTCAGCAAGAGCTCTACCACTACACTACATCCCCAGCTCTTATTTCTCTGGGTTAGTAACATTGTAGGCTACCTCTAAACTTTCCTAGGATCGATCCTTTCTCTAGATGTACTTCCTTGCAAGTGCACTTCACCACTTTCCTAGCACTAAATCCCAGCCACCCTTTGACGGCTAGCTGAGTTAGGGGGCATCACTCAATGTTGTCCCATCCTGGGTCGATGCCATCTCTCCCTCTGCGAACCCACAGCTCTGGACACTTCTGCCTTGAGCTGGAGTTCGGTCCTATCTGAACTTCTCGCCTGAGCTCTCCTGGAGGGCAGGAGTTGGCCTCGAGTCCGAAAGCCCAGCAAATAGGAGCCAGTCATAAGCACGAACAGTTTCCTATGCATTCTTGGCTCTATTCCTAATACTGGGGCGAGAGCGCAACTCTGGAGCCCGCCAGCTCCAGAGAGCAGGGCTTGCTGATCTGTCCCCTCTCGCGCCCTGGCTTGTCTGTCACACAGGACCCCCGCCAGGCGGCGTGCGGGACCCTCCAACGCTCCGAGGCTGGAACCCGCCGTGGGTCAAGCAACAAGTAGCAGCGACTGGCCGGAGCGGTGGTGACCCGCGCGACGATACCTGGCGAAGGCTTTCGGACTGCAGGCAAGGGGATGAGTGCCGAGCAGGGGGTCCGCGCCCGGTAGGTGACAGAGCAAGGCCTCCGTCCGTCCTGGGTCGCTGCCACCAGGGGCTCAGCACCTCCCCGCGGGAGAGGGCTACCGTAGGGAGGGGCCCTCGCCGGCCCCGCCTCGTCACCTCCTCGCCGGCGGCCCGACCTCTGCACCCGGGGTCACCGGGCGCCGGCCGGGTCTGGGGTCGCGCGCACCCCCGCCCCCTGCCCCGCGCCATCTTGGAGCGCTGAGGCGGCCACTCCGGACCGCCCGGAACCGGCGCTCCAGCGGTTACTCACCCGCACTCCCCGGAGCGAGGCCCCCGGCTACCTCCGAGACCCCCGCCACGGCTAGAAGCAGCAGCGCGCCTCTCACCGAGGCCCGGACGGTCGCCATGTCCGGGCCGGGCGGGTCCCGAGCTGCGGGATGCTCGGACCCAGCTTGGCCGCCGCAGCGCTCGCGCCCGGCCCCGCCCCTGGCGCCCCAGGCCTGTGGTGATTGGCTGCGGCTCTCTCACGCCCCGCCCCCAGCCGCACAAAGTTTCCGAAACCTCCTGGGGGGCGGCAGTGCGCCCGGGACCCCGGCTCTTTGTTTTGGCCCAGCTGTGTGTTGGCTTCAGGCTGCCTTGTCCAGCACGCGAGATGGCCTCTGGGCTGTCAGAGCTGGAGGGGCTCTAAAAACGTCTCTGTCACGCCCGTAGTTTACATGTGGGGCCACTGAAAATCACAGAGAGGACTGACCTGCAAGACCACGCTGAAGTTCAGCAGAGACCCCATGGCTAAGTCAGGGCCGAACCGCAGGGACTCCACCATCACATCACTCAGTGATAGTTCAGATAGTTCAGGGAGTGCAGTCTTAAACCCAGAGGGTAGGATTGCCTGGCCTCCCCAAAAAGCTGACCTTCAGACCAGGACCAGAGGTGCAGCTTCCCAGGTGCAGTAGGTGTCTACTCCTGACATCTGTTCTCAGGACAAGGGTTGGGGGTTCTGGGGTGACTAGACACTGACAGCCCAGAACATCAGACTGAGTTCAGACTTCGTTCAAAAGACAGTTTGGGCCAAGGAGAGTCTTCATCTAGCATGGCCCTGGCTTTGACTAGCTTGGCCCAGCACGGGCAGTGGGGAGGGACACAATTTGAAAGTGCCCCTTCCCACTACCACAGAAGCTACTGTGGAAACAAGAGGGTCCACCAGCGATCACAACTAATTCACTATGTGGGTGTGTCTTTTTCCTCTCGATTTGCAATTCCCTACCTCCACCCCAACAAATGGCACATCCATTGCTGTTCAGTGATAAAGCCCATAGCTTATTTCTGTTTTCTTCAGTTTATTTAGACCACTAGAAGCAATTAACTTCCCCGTGGGACAGAGAGCAGCTATATTGTAATAGAAAGTGAAGGGGTTTAACATATTCAAATCTAAATTGCCTCTCACCCTAACTAGCTCTGTGACTGTGGGCAAAGGCATTTAAATCTCTATTCTTTCCTTACTTTTATGTTAGTTGTCTTGAGATTAAACAACGCAACTGTACTTGAAATGTCTAACACAGCATTTTACAACCTGAGTAATATTACCACTCTCAAGAGATCTTCCTTCCACTTGAGCCACAGGACTCACTGGCTGGACTGTCTTCCCGCCTTGCTCCCCTTCCTTCTCAAGAAAGAAAGTCAAGAAGTCTGGACTGTGTATTATGACAACAGTATGCATGGCTGTTACCCGGAAGATGGCTGGTCCACTCTGAAATGTGCTGCATCCCTTCCAGTTTCTTTACATTACCAGTATAAGCTTTATTTTTTGCTGGAATTTGGACAAACTGCTTATATCAAAGGATGGTCCTCAGTTTAAGCCATGGTTCTCACCACAGCAGAACAAATGGAAACCATGGAAATAGAACCGAATTCTAGACCATAAAATACCATATGTGAATTGAATATTCACCATATTGGAAATGTCAAAAGAAAAGATAATTGAATTTGAAGCTAAACCAATAGAAATTATTTGATCTGAAGAACAAGGGGAGGAAGATTAGGAAACAACTAAGCATGTCTTTAGTAACTTTTGCACAAGTATTAAGTTTTTTAAATATATAATTACAGTCCTAGAGGAACAACAAATTTAATCGGGTAGGAAAAAATCAAGACTAATAGTCAGTGGATGACGTCAACTTTCACACCCAAAAAAGTTAACGTAGGACAAATTTTAAAAAAACTCAATCTAGACACACTGTAATTGGACAGAGACAAAAAGTCTTGAAATTAATCACAGAAAACTGACTAACTGCATACAAGAAAGCAATTTTACAGGTAAGAGCTAATATTTCATAGAAATAATGAAGATAACTTTTTAGCTGCCTGGCTCCAAACACCATCATACCTTGCTCAGAATATCTCAATAGCTTCCTGACTGATTGCTTTTGTTTTGCTGTGTATCCCTTTTTAAATCCATTTTTCAGTAAAGCAATTACAGTGATCCCTTTAAGTAACTCAATTATTCTATTATTATTTTCTTTAGAACTCTCAAAGTCTTCCCATCTCATTGAGAGAAAAAGTCAAACTTGTTAAAATCACTTTCGAGGTCTTAACACTCTTGCCTTTTTCTGTTTCCGCCCTGACTTCATTTCTTACTATTCTTGCCTCTCTCATCCACAGCTTCTAGTTGATCGTGCTCCGTATCTTTGTTCAATTGCTCCTTGTATCTCCCACTCAGGATCCTTGTACTTGTGTCCAGATAATTCCACAATTCCCCCTCTTCTTTTTAGGTCCTAACTCAAATGGACTTCTCTCACTGCCTCCTTAAAACTGTAATTGAACCCCAACCCTGTGGTTCTTTTCCTCGTTCAAAAGCTACTTTTTTAAAAAGCTACTTTACCTTCTAACACGATAGATCTGTTATTATAGATGTGTGTATTATGATACTAGATATTTAAAATATACTGTTTATTTTCCTAAAATGTTGATTGTTTATTATCTATCTCACTGTTTCATGGGGCAAAAACACTTGTTTCTTTAGGGATTATCATTAGAGTTGAAAAATAGACAAAGAGGAAAATTTCTAGCTTTAGGGATGAAAAATTAGACCTTTGAAATTTTAGGAACAGTAGTTTTAAGAAAAAAATGTTTAAAAATCAGAACCTGCCCTGAGAAGCTGAGGGCATAAATATGTGCATGAACAGCAGACAGGGAAGAAAATTATGATCAGTCACATGAAGCTTCTCCACCCTCATTAGTCCCCAACAATTTGATTCACTCTGATGAAAAAGAAGGAGAACCACTAGAGAGTAAGGAGGGGTCACTTCTAGGGAATAGAGTAGGATGGGAGATTAAACCCCCAGGAATGCTTGAACCTGTGAGTTAAGAGAGGACCCGACCCTCACTTCTCATGAGGAACTCGGGGAAATGACAAACCTTAAAACTGCACATGCATTTAGCCTGGTGCAGGAATAGACTAGAAATGGTAAAAACAATGTTCTGCTCCTCGTTCCCCAAGGAAGAAGTAGCTTCGTGCTTTTTAAACCCCTCAAGAGAGACAAGAGAAAAGCTGAGAGAACAGATCCTGAAGAAGCCTCCGACTGATCAGAATGAGGTGCCTCTACCACCCAGACAACTGGACACCAGATGAGACGGCAGGTCTCAACAGGGACTGATGATGACAGCTGAGGACTACGTGTCCTGCCATTTTTCTCCTACTCCTGTTTACTGGTTTTGCCTCTATATACCTTTAAGCTAGGGAGGGAGTTTAAGAGTGACCTTAACTGGACTAAAATGCCACTGAACTGAAATTAAGTTTTAGACAATCAGCAGAAAAGGAAGGGGATGTGCAGAATCAAACATCAATTAAAGATCTGAGCACACCTTCTAAAAGTTGTTGCTTGGAACTCGCTGCCCACCAAGAGACAGTATGTTCCAGTTGTGTGTCATATTTACTGTTAACTTAGTAACTGGAAATATGGCCTTGGAGATCAAAGCATCTTTGTATCTTGGAGCAGATGAGGAAGAAAAGCCCTACCCCAAAGCACTCCACATTGTGATCCTCCGCCTGAAAGCTGCAATGCACTATCCTGCAAGTCTCCAGTGAGCCTTCTGAGGTTATGAACCTGTATGAAACTTCCCTGATTGGCTACTCTGTTTGCTTATATCATTAATTTTCAAACTTATAAAAATATTTTTTAGCAATGAAATCCTTTTCCAACAAAATCTACTACATAAAGAATGGGAAAGCTGTGTTTTATTGCTGCTGTATTTATTTTACAAATTCAAAGTTATAACAGTTACTTGGTTTAAAGACAACAAAGAATTCAAAGACAACAAGTGAGATTTTGATAAACAGAGAACTTGAAATCTGTAATAATTGATGCTAACTGCAGTCACACAAATATTATCTGCTAATTTATTTCTGTATTTTTGTTTTGGTTGCATGCTATAGAGAAAATCCTGATTTATACTTGCAAAGGGTCACAAGTTTTATAACAGTTTACTTTGCAATCTGAAAAAAATGTTTTATTTAAATTAAGATTACAGTATTGTGAAAAAATACTGAAAAACTTTTGTTTCAAGATTGATCAATGAAAACTATGTCCACACAATAGGTAGCACACACACAGAAGTTTATGACAAATGTATCCTAATTGCCAAAACTTGGAGCCAATCAAGATGTCTTCCAGTAGATGAGTGGATAAACTGCTCCACACCCAAACTATGGAATATTATTTAGCACTAAAAGGAAAGAAGCTACCAACCATGAAAAAACATGAAAGAAACTTAAATGCATATTATTAAGTATAAAACTTGTCTTGGTTACTTTCTCATTGCTGACAGCCACAAGTTAAAGGAGAACAGGTTTATGTGACCTCACAGTTTGTAGAGGTTTCAGTTTATAGTCAGGTGGTACCAAGGCAGAGCACATGGCAAAGGGGCACTTCAGAGAAGAAACGTTCATGGCATGGCAAGCAAGAAGCAGCAAGCCTTCCTTCTTTCCCTTTTTATTCCTTCCAGGTACAAAATTATTAGTGCTATCCATGCCCATGATGGGCCTTCCCTCTTCATGAAGTCCATCATCTGCACCCAGAGCTGTGCTAAACTAATCAGTGGACTGATCCAGCATCTCACACCCATGATCCAGTTACCTTCCAAAAGTCCCACCTATGAGTGCATGAGGCTTAGGGGGATATCTAGATAGAAGCCATAACAGAAGTCAATCATAGTGCTTGCTGGCCGAGGCATGAGCGAGCAGTGGGCGAGCCAGGAAGAGAACCAGTCAGCGTCTCCCCTGAGCCTAATGGCGTGCAGGCTGAGAATCAAACATTCCATCCCCCGCTCCCCCCTACCCCCACCGCCCCGCATTGGCAACTGAGGGCCAGAGGTCTGAGCATCTCTTGAGAGGATGACTGTATGCAATATAGCAAAAATGGGGAGTTTCCTTCTATCTTTTCTTTGAAGACCAATATTGTTTTCACTGTTTTGCTTTGT